TTCTCTGGTGATCTCCACCCCCCGCCTGGACGCTGTCCTGTGCCCCCTGCTCTGGGTGAGCAGGGGGGTGGCACTGGGTGATCTCCTGAGGTCCCTTCCAACCCCTGCCATTCTGTGATTCTGTGAAAACCAGTCTCAGGACTTGTAACCACCTGAGGTGTTGAGAGGCTTTGCTCCAGGCTGCCCAGTTCATGGCTCGGCAACAATATGAGTCCTTACCTTCTGGGGCTCAGCAATGAGGTTCAGCTCTCCGTACGTTGTGATATCGACATCGCCGGCAACCCTGTTGAGCTCAGCGTCTTGACCTTCAGGGTGGGCCGTGAGGTTGAACTCCCCCATCTGGCCCATGAATTGAACGGGGTCGTTATCATCATCGTCGCTGTCTGCGGCCTGATAAAGAAGAGATCACAGCAGTGAGGCCACCCAGAGACGTCTTTGAGGAGCCTGAGACCAACAGAGCACCCGCCTCTCAGGAGGGTGGCGGTACCTGCCCACCTTCCCCATGGAACACGTTCTTATTCAGCCTCTCCCCATGGCGCTTAGGCTGAGCTAAGGCTAAACCCAAGGGAGATCTAGAGCGCAGAATATCAAAAGCCTGTTCTACATGGAAAGATAAGAGATGAGGGCTCTCCTGGCGGTGTGGGAGCAGCCAAGACTTGTCACAAACACTCAGGAGGCAGCACTGGCCTGACAGGAAGCTGATGCTTTAGAAGAAACCTACTTCAACGGGAGCTGGAAACAGCTTAGGAGCAAACCTCACTGTGGAGAGATGACTGCAGAGGTGAGCGAGAGCATTTACTCCTGCTTTAGGGCACAGGTGTATGGAAAAGGCTGGAATGGAGTTTCTGCAGCAAACTGACTGGCAAACACCAAAGGCAGAGAAGTTCAATTGATGTCATTAAGAGTTGAGGGGGCAGGGGTGTGCACAGAGACTTTGTCATAATCTGCAGCTCCAATTCTTTTTCACTAGTAATTAATTCCAGACGCAGATCCTTCCTAAATTATTCCCATTGCATATCAAATACAGGCAACAGAAAGAAATCTTCCTGTTCCGGTTACCTGCAATGCAGGGCAGAAATTGGAGGTGTCATTGGGGTTGTTGTAATCGTATTCACCGATCTCATCTTCGTGATCCAACAAGCCATCCGGCTCAGACGTCCTGCAGAGCTACAGAGATAAAACCAGGGGTCAGGAAAGGAAAAACTCTAAATATTTTCCCAAGCAATGCCTGCACCTTGTTCCTTCATCATCTCCCCTTTTCCCAGGCTGCTGGCTCTTCCTCCTCCTCCTCCTCCTCCTTGCATATCAGCTCTCTAGCAAGCCCCTGGTAAAGCACAACAGCGAAGCACAGCAGCTTCAGCATCCGCAAGCGGGTCGGTTCAGTGAGCGACGTGCTGGCCCCTCTCCAGCCCCGAGGAGCACCCCAAAGCACTGCAAGCGTTTGGTGAAGAGCGGCTTTGTGCGCGGCGTCATTGCCCACAAGCTTTTAGAGAAGACTCTTACCTTAACAGCTGGTTTGAGAAACAGCTGGAGAATGTTGGTAGGGTCATAGTTGAAGTCTGCGGGAAGCGTGGTGCTCTTCACATTCTGGTTTTCCAGAATGGATTTTGCTAGAGTTACAGCTGCCTGGGGAAGGTAATAAATACCATTACCCATAAGTTCTCCACTATTTGGAAGAGTAATGCACAAATAAGCGCTTTGAACACAGGTCTTTGTCTGAAAGGGGGCAAGTTCTGCGATTCCTCCAAAGAGGACTTCCACACTGGTCCAGTCAGTGCCCCCAGTGGCTTCTGCGCAGCATCCTGAGACACGTGGCTGGAGCTGCAGGGTCCCTTTGACTTGATGGGGTGTAAGCCAGGAAAAATCCAGCCTGACTCTCCACCCCAGGGTTGGTAAAACTATTTATAATGTGACCTTGGAGTCAGAAGATGCTGCAGCAAGGAACATACGTGATGTTGGGCCTACAGAACCAGTGTCACAGGAGCATGAGATGAGCCGTTTGCAGGCAACAGTTCCAAGACACATGGATACAGCAAAAGAGGGAGCAGAAAGAGGCCAAAACTCAGCACGTACCTTGGTCTTACGGAAATATGCCTTAAAGTCGATATCCTCATCAAAGTTAATTTCAAATGCTTTCTTTGCGTTCCTTTTCTTGGTTTCTCTTTCAGAGTCAGCGTCTGCTGCAGAAAGGACAGAAACTGTCAGTGCTTTGTGACCGAGTAAGGACAACGAGCTCACTCCTAACCTGAGCATCTGCTCCACACAGAAAGGTCACCTACAAGGGCCTTTGCCTTTGTTAGGGAAAGCAATAGGTGGTGTTCTCAGCTTCATGTTTTAAAGGGATCAGTATCTTTTTATAGAAGCGGAAAGTGTAATTTAATCTTCAGGTTTTATGCAGAAGGTGGGAAACAACAGCAGGAGCTATATTAGTGCTAGTATCGCCTGTTGCTGCAGTGAGAGACACCCCCTCAACTTTGAGCACCATTAACAAACCCAAACAATAGAGAACGCGTTAGACGCCAGCGGATCTGCGTGTGGCTGAGAGCCTTTCTGGTGTCTGAACTCAGTACTGCTTCCCATCTGGCTATAAGAGAGCCACACAGGCTTGCCCCCTTCTTTACTGTCCCCGCTTTATGACTCAGGTGCCACCCAGCTCCAAAGGTAAGCAGGACCTGGCAGTAACCGCATCTGCGGCGTACAAGCCCCCCTCTCTGAATACGTACGTTTGTGTCGAGGTTTGAAACGCCAGTGCTCTGGGCCAGCCCACATTGACAGGGTTCGGGGACTGAAGTAGGAGTATTCCCCTGGTTTCATGGAGAGGTGAAGGCACATGCTCCCAATGTCTCCCCCTCCAAAAGGAACCGCATCAATTCTGGAAAGAGCACACATGCTGCTCAGTGAAATCATTCCTTTGGCACACACAGGGCCTGAGCGTGCATTTAATATCCAGATCAGCTCTGTACAGACATCGCCCGCCCCCTCTGCCAGCATGCGTGCAGGACTCCCGCTCTTTAATCAGTGAATGGTACTGTGGGTGTTCGCTGCCCAGAGTCTGTGAGGCTGCTGCAAAGACAGAGGTGGATTTGCTAAAGGGCGGGCTGGAAACCAGGCAGCAGAGCAAGCGGAGAAGCAATCATTCAGGGGAAGTGTGACCCCACAAAAAGGTCCCCTTGGGGGGTAGAGATATCACTGTAATGCATTCCTTGATGTACCCGAAAGCTGAGCAGAAAGCAAGCTAGAGTCAGATGGGAAACGTGTACACAGTAAATTAGAGATTCCCCAGAGAGCTGCCAGAAGCTGTTGCTTGCTATCAAAGCACAGCTATAGATTTTCAGGGACTACTTACTTCTTGCTACTGTGGACTGTTCCAAAGGAGTTGAGGTTTTCTGTAAATTCCCCAATCTTGCCTGTTACTGTACTCCTGGGGGAGTTAGAATTGAAGTCGTCATCTGGCAGGCTGGGAACAGGGTCTTCCTCATCGCTGTCTATCTCCGCATTGATATCGAACACTTGGTCGCTCTTCTTAAATTTATCCAACAGGGCTGACACTGACTGTAGGAGGAGAAAGCATTCAGGAAAAAAATTGCAGGATATCAGCGGCCCTGCAGCGCAACATCCCACTGCCCTGCACGGCTTGGTGAGCGCAGAACACGGCTCAAGTATCCCACCTGGCACAGAGCTAACAAACGTACCTCATCATGGGACTCAGCATCCCACTTTGTAAACTGGAAACCAGCCAGCGAAGAGCAGATGGGGCGTCCTTCAATGCACTGTGCTAGGAGGGCTAGAGAGAAGGAGAGCAAGGGGGAGAGATTTGATATAGGATGAAGCAACCAGCACCTAAAACAAGCGCCTGGCATTAAATCATGCTTAAAGCCACACAAGTAGGCAGCCCTTCTTGCATGTAGGGCAGCGCAGGGCTCACTGCAAAAGCTGTCGGGCTCATTTCTCAGCAGAAAGGGAGAGTTCAGTTGCTACCCTAACTCGAGGGTGGGCATAACTCTGGGAATCTTACTAGAGCAGCGGGGTTCAGTAGTATGTACAGGCTCAAAACACTCTAAAAAGGTCAGATCTTAACCTGGAGCACACCAACCTCAACCGCTGCACTGTTCAGACCATGCATGCGTGCTGTGTGACAGGCCTGCCAGAGGTTAAGCTACACGTAGCGATCAAAAACCTGCAAAGGTCCCGCTTTTCCAGCAACCAGTCTCAATGTGAGCAGAATCAAGAGCAGCGGTGCCATAGGGTAGCCAAGCAGTGAACCAAAGCACAAGTCAGTCTGGCTGAGGCTAAAATGAGCACGCTTGGGAGATGAAAAGGATCGAAAGGTCTGGATGGACCCCTTTGCTTTGCGGTTACTGGCACTCACGCTTTAAATCCGTCACTTTCACAGGATCAGAGTTTGGCAGCGTGAGCGTCTCTGAAGAAGGGAGAGGCACAATCTTCGAGTCAAAGAGGAGCTCGCTGTGGCAGCTTTGGGTACGCAGCCCAGTGAGGAAAATGCCAGCTGTGCTGCATTCATCAAAAGATGCGGCTGTTTTCTGGAACATGGGATCAATCTACAGGTATGGAATGAAGGAGAGAATCAAGGAACCGAGTAGAGGGAAGGGCTGAGCAGCTCTGCAGGAGACTTTCAGGTACAGCTCTGAAGGGGAATGACCCACGCATCTTTTTCAGCGAGGAGAGAGCTCCCACAGCTGCCTCACACAGCAGGAATATATGTGACTGGGAACAATCTTGCTGTAATAGCAGAATTCACAGACATGCACGTGAACGTTAGAGTCCAAGAGAGGAATGCACAATAAGGAAAATAATAGAAATGAGAAAGATGGGGCAACATCTCTTTTCCCCCCACCAGAACGCAGCTGCTACAGCAGCCTCCCTCCACTGACCTCACATCTGCGATTCGCCTTCGACACATTGATGTTATTCAAGTTCTGCTCGATGGTTTTGAACGAGTGCTTTTTCTTTTTCTGAACTGTCTTGACAGCCTCAGGAGCTGGACTGTCTTCTAAAAGGAAAAGAAGAGTGAGTTACACTTAGAAAACTTGCTAAAATACCCTATGGGGGGATAGCACAACGTTTACTGCACTTTGTACCATGCAAAACCCCGTGGGTGTGAAGTTACCCAGTTAGGTACTTATTAGCATGAACCACCAATGTTTCATTGGCTGGATGCTGCATTTCTTTTTATCGACCCTATTTTATTTAACAGCACATTTTCATTTCAAAGCAAAGGACAGCAAACTGTGGGGCACTTCATTCATGTTTCAGATTAGGCCACCTTTGGTTTGCATTCAAATCCAACGGGCCAAATCACTGAATACAGGATTGAGCAACAGATTCAGATTCTCATCTCAACCCTCCCTGCTCAAGCACCCAGGTAAACTAATTTGATGTTTCCCAGCCTTTGAAAAATAAAGTTAGTGGTAGTCTCCGAGGTGTACAAGGAGCTTCTAAATTCACGGGGGCTATGTGAGTACACTGACAATTCTCTTATACGCAGGTGGAACATTAACAGCTTAACAGAAAAAGACTGAATGGCACACCTCCTTCTGGGCTGTCCGCATTTTTTGCAGGTGCCGAGTCCTTGCCTAAGCCTCCAAGAACTTTGTAGGTATCTGCGTGGACCGCATCCACACGCACGGCGTAAATCTTTGCACTGGCATCAAGCGTGCCAGCTGCTATCTGACAGAAGGAACAAAGGATGAGATTTTTAGTTAGGAAGGAAAAAGTCTTGTCTAGAAGATGCAAATGCAGAAGGCAAGCTGCAGACCTGAATTTCTGAATGCTCTGCATTAAAATCAAAATGGTGAAAACCGGAAAAGGATTTATCCTGAAATGTGCTGCAGACCTAGGTGCACAGCAGGGGTCAAGATGTGTCTTCCCAGGCGGAGCCTACAGTTTGGTTTGTCAGGTCTTTTGGAAGGGATCACACAGAAGAATGCTTTAAAAGTTGCCAAGATTAAGCAACGGGGAGAAACAGAAAGGTGCAGATTTGCATCTGCCAAGACAGCTCTCTCCTCCACCTCTCCTTCATGCCTACTTTTGGGCCATCCTCTTGGTATCATTCTAGTTTCCCAAATTACAAAGTCAAAAGAGGTGAAGCACAGGAGATGCCAAGTGCACTTTTTGATTACAGACCTCCCCCCGGGAAGGTGAGGAACCACTCCCTGAAAACCTGTGCACTATTTCCCGCTCCTTCCTCAGTTCCATCGACCATAAGCCAGCTAGCTCAGGGGTTCCTTGAGGCCACGTTCAAAAGCTCTGCCATTTGTTCACTCATCCAAGAATTCACTTCTCCCTCCTAGCATAAGTGAACCGTTATAGCGAGCAAGTCTTTGCCCTGGCAAGATCTTATTCTGATCCATCCCAGATCAAGATTAGTCCAGGAATTAGCCACACTAACTTCCTTTCTTCTCCAGCCTTGTTTTGTTACTGGTTGTAACACTCAGTATTTACCTCACAAGTCTTGCTTTTAAACAAGCCCTCCTTTTGAAGGAACACAACTGAAACAGCCTTTAATTTCTGCGGTTATGAAAGGATTCAACGCTGGAAGCTTCATGCGAAAAGTGACTGTGCTGTCTCTGCCAGATATTTTTAGTGGAAGTAACCAGCTCTGTTACCTTCAGTGTTATTTGAGGTTGACTAAACCTTAGGCTAAATGCCAGTCGGAGACAAAGCACTGCCGCGACCGGGCGGCGATTCCTCTCACCTTGAAGTTGGTCAGTTCAGAGTCCTTCTGTTTCAGGATCTCGGTCATATAATCTATCAGGTGTAAGCCAAAGGCATTCTTCGTGGTGATTTTCTGCAATAAAGCACAGCTCAGAACTGACCCCCTTGAAAATGACACCTGTCAAAACTGTCTGAACCCTCATCCCGTGGGGGTATTTACAGCAGGACCGAGGGGATACGGTCCGTGCCACGTCCTGCTTCGTTACGGCCGGGAAGGCAGCGATGGAGGCCCAGCTCTGGCCATGGCTTGGATCAGGGATGGGGCTCACAGGGCTTGGATGGAGAATAACGGCGTGGCCGAGGCTCAAGGAGTTTAAAATCCCTCCCGGCCTTGCAGCCACGGCCGGAGCGAGGGGGGTGTGAGGGGGGCCGGGAGCCCTCCCCGCTGCGGCCGACTCACGTTCTCGGTGGAGAGCTTGATGCAGGTGCTGTAGTGGTCCGAGATCTGAGCGTTGCTCCACTGGGGGAGGG